TAGATTCTTATTACATGATGTGATAATCACATTTTGATGTTTTGCAGGGTCTAAGAGAAAGTGAGAGATAGATTTCAATCACATGGTTCGAGGATCAAATTTTTGAGCTGATGCTTGGGAGTTTTAATAGTTTAATAGATTGCTTAATAAATATGTCTAGATACGTAGTTTTCATATATTTTCATTGTAAGGATAATTCTTTCCGTATTTTATCAATGAAGTATATTTTTGGTTTTATCTTATTAGCTTTACATATCCTTGCAATGGCATTTATGAAAATTGATGGTTATATTTCTATTATTAGCAATGTTAAGTACGGATTGATTCTTGATTATAGCATTTGTGGTAGTGTCTTAATCAACCAAGTGAAAAGGAATTCTCATCACCCAAGTTTCAGTTGGATAGAAACTTGGAGTCATACAGTTCGAATTGTGTGATGTATGAGAATCTTGGTCCTTGGAAGATTAAGACTAAATCCTTAATCACATGTTTATGTGGATCAAGTGAAGGACTAAAGGATCTAGTACACATTGATGTGAACTGGTTAGATCCACCACAAAGGACGATAAGTGTATTTTTCAGATTTACTGATGGTTCAGTAAATAGGGTTATACTTTCAGATTTGCTATAAAAGGATTTTGGGGAGAAGGAAATTATACTTCATTCCAAATCTAAAAGTTTAGATTTAATGGAACTTAGTCATGAACATATATGAATATCATGTTGAAATGATTCAACATAGGAAATTCTATATGGAAATAGTATAGCAAAAGACTGATCAAGTATCATGTCTTTATGTAAGACATTATGTGTCGAATCCCATATGCTTCAGATATAGGATTGATCACATATGCTATAGTATTTGCTTGTTCAAAATTTTACAAATTCCTAGGGCATTAAGAAGGAAAAAGGACTGGAACTGGATATGACTAGAGTTGTTAAACAACTGTTAAAGGACAATCTGAAGTTTGCTGAAGGTTTGTTGCTTGTAAACAGTTGGAAGTATAGCCTTCGAACGGACCATACCAACATGTTTTAGATTGGGATAATTATTTATCATAATTGAGTATCATATGGGAATATGGAAATATTTCTATAATGGGAATTGGTGATTGGAATCTGAATGTGAGTTAGAAACCTTAATACAAAGAAAGTGTTTAAGGAGTTACCTTGAATTTGATATTTCATTACCATGAAATTGTTTTAAGTAACAAAGTTTCAATGGAGAATTTTGTGACATCATCGGCAAAGACTTTGTGACTTTCTGCCCATGTCATCACAAAAGGATATTGCATGAAAGGTTAGATTCTAACACATTTATTGGGGATGAGAATTTTGAAAATTCTTGCACTTGTAATATGAGTTTGGAATTTCTACTTGTTCTAATTAGAATTAGAAATTGTGAAATGAGCATCACTGGAATCATGTCCAATTGATACATTCACAAAGGAAGGGTCATAGACAGACATAGTATGCATGTTTGGAACATGGCATAACTAATGTTTAATTCAAGTGGTTAGTTGATTAATCGAAACATTATAAAATTAATAAAGTCCAAATAATATGGTGATTAAATAATAAGTGTTTTATCTATACTCAATAGTTTTGAGACCATAGTTAATGAGGTTATTATTGTGTTTCACTTTGCGTGTTTTACTTCCCGAATAATTACATTATTAAAAACATCCATAGTTGATCATACTTTGGAAGTAAGTAATGAATTAAGACTGTCATAAACTAGCTTGTAGATTGTCTAAGTGATTAGACATAACAAAGGTATGCTGCAACGTTTATGAGTACTCCGGAAATGGGAATTTGAGTTTAGACATAACAAAGGTTTGCTGCAACGTTTATAAGTGGTTAGACATATGATTGTTTTCTATGTATAATACCATCAAATAAATGTAATAGAAAGCATTGTAATATTCGATAAATCGTCCATTAGGCTCTAAAATTAGTGTTAAAAGAATTGTGATGTTTTCCGATTCGGTTAACATACTTGGATGTTACTCGTTAACGTCATCTCAAGGATATAAGATTTGTATAAATCTGACTTTGAAGAGGAGAGTTATGGGGGGTTTTATAAAAATAGAAATCAACCGCATACTTAAAATTAATTATATCGAAAGGGTACTTAGATATTGGTTAAGTTTTGACAAATAGTGTAAAAAGGAGTTTTGTAGTACTCCTCGAGATATAAACTTTAGGAAAAAGGTTGTCGAAAATGTGATCCATATGAGCAATTATGATTTTTATAAAATCATTAGTTCTTACCCCTGTTGGGCTCGAAAATGAAAGTTAAAACCGGCCAAAACAACCAAAAGGAAAGTTGTAGAACCTGTTGAGATTATCACACAGATATAGAGAAGGTCTAGATTAGAGAACACAAGGAGTAATGATTTTCTAAAAATATTTACTTACGTGTCAAGTGCATGCCACAGTGTGCCGTGCACCTCACACTGGATTCAATCAGATTGCAAGTGACGTGGTTGAGTAGGGTAGGGATACGTGACAACTTCCTGTAGAGCCATGGTGTTCAATTGCACGCCGCGCATAGGAAAGATGTGATGCACACCCCCAAAAATCTACTATAAATGGAGGGTGTGCTATTCAATTGAACAAGCCTTCAAAACACCCCTCTCTTTCTCTCTGGTTCATGCGTTACCTCATAGAGCGGCTCCTGGAATTCCAAGTTCGTCCTTACCCTACATCAGCGGTTTCAAACCCTATAGTAAGTTCACAGACCCTATTTTAAGGTTGTAAAACGTTTTCAGGAGGGAATACATGCTTAACAAATGATATTATACAAAATAATTTATGTTTATAAATATTTAGTCATTTTATAAGCCTTAGGATAGTATAATTGTAGATACTACGCCTAGATTTAAGCTATGATCTGTATATAAATGATATGATGCCCGATAATCTAGGAGTAGATATTACATAGATGTTATAATGGCTAAATCCCTAGGAAACTTTAAGTATCTAGGAGTTATGCTAGATTAGACTTAGGATATCTAGTGTACTTAGTTGTTACGCTGTCCAAATATCTTGTTAAAATAACCATAATTTGGGTGTATATATACATACATATATATATATATATATATATATATATATATATATATGACTATTCATATATAACACATCATTATGAGATCGTAAATATAATTATTAAATACATATATATGATTATATATATATATATATATATATATATATATATATATAGGGTAATTACGATAAAGATAAAAGACTAAAAGATAAAAGATAAAAGCCTTTGGTTAATATGTTAGTGAGTTGGTTATTCATCTAAAAGCCTTGATTAAATTCAGGATATCCCCAATACCTATAATAGTTAATCTTGCGAGAGGTAGGAAGTTATGTATAGATCTATGCGGGACCATTACTACCCCACATGCGATTTCTAGAAACAATCGTGGCAGGATACCTTCAATATAAGTTACTATTTGGCATCCGATGAAGCATCGTGATTAGGCATACATTTACAGTCGTAGCGTCGATTACAAGGGCTCACATTAATACATTAAAAAATTCCTTAGAGCTTGGATTACCATTAGGGTCGTCTGGTAGGGTAATTAAAACACATTATGATCGTTAGATATCTTTAAAAAGATAGTAAATTATTGTTAACAAAAGATAATCCTAATTAAAATATGTTAGGATCGTAAGATATACCTTTGTGTTCACTTTCTAAATACATTATGATCGTTAGAAATCTTTAAAGGAATTCAAAAATAAAACCCGTGCACTCACCAACATTATGTTGACTTTCAAAATACATGTATTCTCAGGAAGATGAGTGTGGAAGAGTGTACCCCAAATATTAATAGGTTTTTTAGATATAAAATTTTAAAATATACCTTTGTGTTTGATTGTACTTGTTGTGGAGATCCAGTTATCCCTACATCGCATTGCCTGGTGTTTCTACCAACAGCTAGGCAGGGTGTGACAGATTGGTATCAAAGCCTCAAGTTATAGCGAACTAGTAATTCCTTAGGAAATACGACTACAACCTAGGGTGTAAAAACTCTGAATTGGTAAAACCTAATAAAATTTTTAATAATAATAACTATACGGATAAACTACTCTTGGTGAGGTCTCTACACTGGAAAAACAAGTCGATATGGATGTTGGATTTCAGAACAACTATATGCCAAAATGGTCCTGCCCTTTGAATTTTCCTAACTGGCCGATCCTTGTAGTTTAAAAGTACACAAAGATAGGATTAAAAAAATACCCCAATCAACCATTAATCAAATAAATCATTGTGTAAACTCTTATTAATACAACCTCCTATCCAAAAAGATTATCCTTTCAAATCACATCTTAAGATTTTAGGTCAAATAAGAATACTAGGTTTAGTTAGTACTGCAGTCAATCCACAAGTAGACCTAAAATGCACAACTAAGTTTTGCTATGGTCCGACTGATGCACTCTCAAACCTAGATGTCATAGTTGACAATCTAAACATTTAAGTATTTATGGATCGATAGTTAGTACGCCTAGTCAGGAAATTTGGACAAAGTCTACGACTAGCGGATGATCATATCAGTAGTAGTAATTGACTCCCCCGAATACTAGAGCCATACAAAGTGATACACCGAGAGAAGTTAAGGATTTATGTCCTAGAGTTTTAAGAATCGAGTCCGACTTACTACTAGGAGAGTTCTGTTCATTGCTCAAGGATGATAATCTAGGCAACGCTTACCTGAAAACCCTTAGGAGAAAATCACAGTAGATCTGGTACTATTTACTATATACGTATAATTCTATAATTATATGTATAACGATTTTACTCTTATCTCTCCTAAACATCTAATCTTTTAAATGTCTTATGTAGGGTGGTCGGAGCAGGCGTGATCATCAGGAGCTCATCCATAAAGGATATTTGGGATTGATTTTCTGATCCTTCCCTAGAGGGAGATCAGGTGGTACCACACTACCAAGTGACAGAGGAGGCAGAGTACGATCCGTAGATGCCGATGCTGCCTACCCCTATTGATATGAAGTTTATCGAGGAAGAGGATCCCTATGAAGTTGAGGATCCACTGGAGGAGGATCCGCACGACGAGCAGGAAAGAGTAGATCCAGGTGATAGCTCGCCATATCCCGACTCGTCATCCCATGGTGATGGACATCACGAGACTCAGGAGGTGGACACTCTTGAGTCAGAGCCATCATCAGAGTCTCCAGCCTCAGACCAGCCTTCCAGTGTGTAGGCATGGCAATTAGGTTGGGTTCGGGTTAGCGGCTCACGGGTTGGCGTATCAGAGTACATTGACCCAACCTAACCCATATAATAAATGGGTTGGTTGGTTGGCGGGTTGGCGGGTCACAGGTTGACGGGTTGAAAACATCAAACAACCTAACCCATATAACCCATATAAGTATATGGGTTCCTGGGTCAGTGGGTTGGACCCAAACTGTATAACCCATTTAATAAGCAACACATTTTAAAATGAAATTAAAAAAATAAAAAAAAATGAAGTCATAAAGTCTTATATATTCAACATAAATTCATAAACATAAAGTCATAAACATGAGTGATGACGACGAATGATGAGCGGCAGGCGGAGGACGAGAAGACGAATGGTGTGTGTCTGACACTGCAATAGTCAATGACTCGATGCCTCAATCGATGGAGATGGGAGACACAGAGTTGTGAGTTTGGAGACTAAAGACTGAATTTCTTTTTGATTAGGGCTTCTTAGGGGCTAGGAGATGCTAAGTCGGCTCGAAGATGTTTTGCAGTTTTAGAATTTAGAAAACGATTGAACAATAATAATATATTCAATTAAATATTTTTTTTAAACATAATATATATATATATATATATATATATATATATAATTAGGTTGGTGGGTTAACCCGCAAACCCAAACAGGTAACCCAACCCAATCCATGAAATAAACGGGTTGGTGGGTCATAAATCTCAACCCAAACCTGTTTATTTTTGCGTTGGGTCAGTGTCGGGTTACAGGTTGGGTCGAGGATTGCCACCCCTACCAATGTGTACACCTCACGACCCCAAGTGATCTACACCCCCAAAAAATCTATTCCTATTCCATCCCAAAATAGAGCATCCACAATCCCCATCATCCCCAAATCCATCAAATAAACCTTTACCTACCCATAAATGGACCCCCCAAGTAGACGAGTGGATTCAGGAGGACAACATTGGCCATTATGAGATTAGAGAGTTATCCTAGGATCCAAGATGTGCCCCTATCCCTGAGGATCTGATAGATCAAGCAATTTTAGTGTTAGTTTCGCCTGTGGCAAGACAAGAGGATCGCATACATCAATTAGAGGGGGGTCGCAACTCGTTGTAGACGGAGGTTAGGATGTTGACCGATGTAGTCAGAGATTTAGAGGAGAGGAGGGATTTTGATGAGATGAGGATCCTCCACGGTTATGATCACCTCAAAGAGACGCATTCTCTAGTGTAACATCATCAGATCGAGATTGAGAGTCTCAATCAGTGCATGAGAAAGGCAAACTTAAGATTGTTGGTGTAACAAATAGGAGCAACCACTCTGGAGGTAATGATTGGATACCTCCAGTAGCAATTAGCCCAGATAGTGCATTAGGTTGTGGTATATATTTCTAGCCTTAGGTAGCTAGAAACCATGATATTTTTGGGTTAGCAACGTAGCTGATATCGGAATATGTTACTTCTTTTGTGTAGAATTGATCCTATTCCTATTTAAACCACACTTGTATATACTCTTTTGGTTAAGAAAACTGATGTAAAAAGTTTATTAAAATCCATAGAAGTTTGTATTATCGAAATTTGTATGTGTTATTTTTTTTTTTTTGATTGCTTTAAATAAGTTAACCCTTCTAACCCAGCAAGATAAAATAACAACTAACACGTACCTTAAATTTAGAATCATGCCTCACACTAGATGTAACCTAGGAACACCTGAAAGGAAACCTGATCCAATGAGCTCAATTGAGATTGAGGCACTGGTCGCCCAATTAGAGGGGGGTCACAACTCGTTGTAGAGGGAGGTTAGGATGTTAACCGACGTAGTCAGAGATTTATAGGAGAGGAGGGATTTTGATGAGATGAGGATCCTCCATGCTTATGATCACCTCGAAGAGACCCATTCTCTAGTGCAACATCATCAGATCGAGATTGAGAGTGTCAATCAGTGCATGAGAAAGGAAAACTTAAGATGGTTGGTGTCACAAATAGGAGCAACCACTCTGGAGGTAATGATTGGATACCTACAGTAGCAATTAGCCCAGATAGTGCATTAGGTTGTGGTATATAATTCTAGTCTTAGGTAGCTTGGAACAATGATATTTTTGGGTTAGCAGCGTAGCTGATATTGGAATCTGTTACTTCTTTTGTGTAGAATAGATCCTATTCATATTTAAACCACACTTGTATATACTCTTTTGGTTATTAATGATGGGTTTTGAGCATTCTAACACTTCCTAAGTGTACATGCAACCCTAATAACCTTGGATCTATGTTTGTCTAATTATCATGCAAAGTTGAATTCTAAGGTTATATTCCTATCTAGCATACATGGGGAACAATTTTAACTTAAAGTATAGATAGAATAACTTACCTTGTTGTTGTTTGTGTTCCTTGAAACCTTGTGAGCCTAGCACCCCAAGTGTGATGCCTCAAATGCTTCACACAACACCAAATGCTCTTGGAAGAACTTATGAGAGAACACACACTTCTCAAAAATCGGCCAAGCCCTCTTGTTTCTTAGTGTAGCCGATTTTAGGTAGAGAACATGTTTCTTATATAGTGTTGACACATCTAGGGTTACACCCTAATGTGTCATGACTCTTCATTTCCATGACCCATGGGTTTGTAACTCCCATGGAGCATCCATGGAGCATCCTATGGGTGGAACCCAACTTGATAGTCCATGGAGCCTTTTAACCCACTATACAAGATATGGATGATTTACATAATCAACCCATATATTTAATTAGTTATCTTTTGATCACATAATTAATTCTAAATTAATTCTTGATCAAACTAATCAAATAATATTATTAATATATTAGAACTTATAATATATTAATAATCTCCAAGTGTTATTTCTCTCATTTAGTCTATCCAATTGCATGATGCCATGCAACCCAAATGGACCATGCCGGGTCGGGTCAAGTACATACCAGAAATAGTTATGGACTTAGACACCTTATCCAACAGTCTCCCACTTGGATAAGTCTAATAACTATTACTTCAAATATGACTTCAGGAACCGATCGGCAATCGTAGCTCTTTACAAGGTTTCTCGAAACTGAGAAGATGATGGTACGCCATTTAAGATAAGTGATCATATAATCCTCTGTTCTAGATATCAGTCGGACAAATACACGGAACAGTGTCTTACTTATTGTCCAACAGTTTGTTTCCCGATTTCCGATTTGTTTGACAAAGAACTTCATTGAACACATCAATTTAGTTCTGACCGGGCCCGGTACATAGGTCAAAACAAAATCATCGAGGGGCCCAGATATCAGCTTCTAATCCAAGAAGGAATAGATAAACTTCGACTCATATGTTTGTTCTACCACTCATTGAATTATACACAAGAGCACGATTTATAACATCGAGTTACCAATGCGTTTTTCGTACAATCAATGCATAACCAACTTGTAAGTAACAAATCATATCTCTAGGTTTGAAGACTTATACGATATTACCGTCTCACGATCACTCGAGATAGAATTCCATGAAGTGATTCCAGTGAGCGTGGGTTGAGTCCAATGCTCAGAACTTTTGAGCACTCATGATTGCTGTAGCCTTGTCCAAGACCTCTACAACCAAACATGACAGTCTTGATTCATATCTACTTCCGACATATGACCGACTGTGGAGGTTTGAATAATATGTTATACCAAACAAAAATTATTCTGGAAGTCAAAACATGCAAAAGAAATATAGTAAATGATCGACAAGCGATAGCAACACTTTACTCATTAATAAAACACTTTTATTCATCATCAAATGTCAATTACACTTTACAAATTTCGAGGTTATCTAACTACTAAATCTAATATCATCCTTCAGCCCTATGCTCCGAGCATGCTGGAGATGCTTAACCCGAGTCAGTCCTTTCGTGAGAGGATCTGCCGGATTCTCATCTGATGATACCCTCTTTGCCACGAGGAGTCCTTCTTCGATCCGATGTCTGATGAAATGGTATTTTCTGTCGATGTGTCTGGATCTCCCGTGATCCCTTGGTTCCTTGGTAAGGCAACAGCACTTTCACTATCACAGAAAATTTCCATTGGCTCTTTAATAGCTGATACAACTCCAAGGTCTCCAATGAAGTTCCTCAGCCATAACGCCTCCTTTGCCGCCTCGCTAGCTGCAATATACTTTGATTCACAAGTAGAATCTGCCACTGTCTCTTGCTTGGAACTCTTCCAAGAAATTGCTCCTCCATTTAGGGTAAAGACCCAGCCCGACTGAGAGCAGAAATTATCCCTATCAGTCTGGAAGCTAGCATCACTATACCCTACAACTCTCAAGTCATCACTCCCACCAAGAGTAAGGACCCAGTCCTTAGTCCTTCGTAGGTACTTCAGAATATTCTTTACCGCAGTCCAGTGTGCCTTGCTAGGGTTCCCCTGAAACCTGCTAACCATGCTCAGGGCAAAAGCTACATCAGGTCGAGTACACGTCATAGCATACATGATCGATCCTACAGCCGAAGCATAAGGTACTCGACTCATTTGTGCTATCTCAGCCTCAGTGCTAGGGCTTTGTGTCTTACTCAGTTTGGCGTTACTCTGGATGGGCAATTCGCCTTTCTTGGAGTCTTGCATTCTGAATCTCTTCAGCACCTTATCCAAGTAGGTACTTTGACTAAGTCCAATTAGTCTTTTACTCCGATCTCTCAAGATCCTTATCCCTAAAATATAGGCAGCTTCACCAAGGTCCTTCATAGCGAAACACTTTCCAAGCCAGGACCTTACTTCCTGCAGGGTTGGATTGTCGTTTCCTATGAGTAGTATGTCATCCACATACAATACCAAAAAGCTAAGTATACTCCCACTAGCCTTGACATACACACAAGATTCATCTTCACTCCTAGAAAAGCCAAATTCCTTGACCTTTTCATCAAAGCAAAGATTCCATCTGCGAGGTGATTGCTTTAATCCATAAGTGGACTTCTCAAGCTTACACACTCTATTAGGTGAAACGACCCAAAAACACGACCCAAAAATTTTCGTTTTTTTTTTCAATATAATCAAAACCATAATATAAGTATCATAACATAAAACATACGCGATGTATCCCCAAAACGTAATAAAATATTGTGCGGAAAAACTGTATCATACTACATCAATCCAAAACATCAAAAGACATCCCCAGGATAAAAGCTATGCTGTGGTGTGTGCGATGCTGTCACCCCGAGCTCTTCCCTTTGCTTGCGGAAGTACCTGAAACCAAAACTGAAACTGTAAGCACGAAGCTTAGTGAGCTCCCCCAAACTACCACATACCATACAATAACATATAAACACATATTGGGCCTTGCCCACTGCATCGGGCCGAAGCCCGGAAACTGCATCGGACCGAAGTCCGGAACTGACTGGGACCTTGTCCCCTGCATCGGACCGAAGTCCGGAACTACTGCATCGGACCGAAGTCCGGAACTGACTGCATCGGACCGAAGTC